GCGCGCGCGCGCGAGAGAGAGAGAGAGAGAGAGAGAGAGAGAGATTGGGCAAAAATGTAGAAACGAACGCATATAAAGAAAATCAAAGCCGTGGGTCTGATTGTGCCATTACTCCGACACTGGCATCCGCCAGCGTCCCGCTCGCTCGTTCACCCATTCGTCCTCTCTCGCTCTCGCGCTTTCGTCGGGCGAACGGTAGAAAGGGAGATCGCACGCTGCGTGCTGGTGCGAGAGACCGGGAGAATCTGAGCGAAAGAGAGAGTGAGGAGAGACAGAGAAAAAGAGAGAGAGAGAGAGAGACCGGTGATCGAGGGAGATTGAGAGAGAGAACGAAGGGAGAGCCGAGGGGGAGTTTCGAGAGGAGATCCGAGAGAGACCGAAAATACGCTGCATAACGTCGCCGGTAGACGAGAAAAGGTGCGGCGGGGGTGCTCCGGACCATTGCGAGATGGTGGGGATGGACCGCGGCGGGTCGAGTCGTGGGCGCGAAATGGTCGGCGGAAAGGGGGAGCGCGAGAGAGGGGAAGAGAACAGGAGTAAGAGAGAGAGAGAGAGAAAGAGCGAGAGCGAACGGGAGCGAGAGAGAGGACGGAGCGGCCGCGGCGTGGCGCGGCGGGAGGGCGAAGGGGGAGGGGAGCGGCGTAGAGGCGCGGAGCAGAGCGCGGAGCGGAGCGACCGCCGCGCCGACCAACCGTCTACCAGTCAGTCATCCGTGCTCCGTCGTACGAGTGAGATCGCGGCGGTACACGCGCTCGCTCGGTCGTGTGGGTTATTCGCGCGCGCGCGAGGCGACGACGACGATTCCGGACGTCGCGTCGTCGTCCGACGACAGTCTGCAGGTCGCCGCGGTGTGGACCTAACGCGGCGGATCGTGTTCGCGACGACGTCTTCGTGGCGGGCGGCGGCGTCTTCGGCGCGCAACTTTCGGGTGCTGGCAGCTGGGTGCAGCGGCGACAGCGGCGGCGGCGGATCGCTTCCACACGCGCAGTGCACGGTACATCCTCTCCGCTTCCGCGTTCCTTCCTGAGGCGACGAGGCGTGAACCCGCAGCGAGAGGGACTCCGGAGCGGGCCGACGCGGGACGATTCCGGCGAGCGCGAAGGGTGAGTGCAGGAGGACTTGTTCGTCGCGGGCGCGCGTGACGAACGCGCTATCGCACGCGCGTCCGCGAAACGCTTACGCTGCTACGTTCACGTTGCTCGCGTCAGTCGCGTCACCCGCGAGCCGACATGTGATCGTTCCGTTCGCCGTCGCCGTCGTGATACGCGAATACCGTTAGGCAGCGACTCTCCTCTCTCTCTTTCTCTCTCTCTCTCTCTCTCTCTCTCTCTCTCTCTCTCTCTATCCGTAGTCGACGCTTGAATTTCAGCGACGAAAAGTTACTCGCCGCGCTCTACGACCGTGGCTGAGTTTTCGTTAAGAAACCTCTCTCTCTCTCTCTCTCTCTCTCTCTCTCTCTCTCTCTCTTTCTCTGGCAAGAGGAACGGTTACGAAGGTGAGGTTACGCGATGTGTCGCGGAACGCGAAGGTCAGGGACGGCCGTTGCATGTGTCGTGGGAATTATTTTGAATCGGAACTATCTACAGAGTACTTGTTGGTGTGTTTACGTCGCTCGCGCGCTCGTTCCGTTTCGGAGTCACGAGACGCGGCAGGCTTCAGACGAGTCACGTGCGGCGACCTTCACGCGCGCGGGAACCGTGTTAATTTCAAACTAACGCGCGCGTACACGATGGTTTGTATTTTGGATTTAATTAATATGTATGTAAACTTTTACATGCGGCTCGATTACGCTTAAGTTGATGTTTAGCGTTTCCCATTCACGTATCCCAAATTAATGTCTGAAGGAATTCCGTTATCGCTTAAATCGCAATTTCTAAACAGGATGAATAATAATGAATAAGAAAAATAAAACTCGTGACGGCTTGTGATTCAGCCACGTCTCTTCTCATTTTTCATTTATTTTTAACGAAATGTCGAACTTCGATTTTTTTCGATTTATATATTTTGATTTTTATATTTCATATTTAATGCGAATACACGAATAAATATTATACCTAAAATGTGGAACGTCGAAATCTTTGGAAAAATTGTACTGATTTATAACAAACAATATTACAAATAGTAGAAACACAAGAAATCTAGAAATGAAAAAAAGCAAAGATATATTGCAGTTACAAATATTTTTTATACATGTGTCTATACTTTATTACGTACTATGTCAATATCAATATATTGCAAACAGTAATATTCTTTATTACGAATTTCTGCAGAAAGCAATACACAAAAAAATATAAAACTTAAAGGTAATGAACAGATACGGGAAAGGAGAAGAGGAAATTTTTAAGAGGTTATAATTAAAATGGATAACGTGCGAGATCGCAATGCATTTTTTATTGCAATTCTTAAATTTATTTTGATATTTTTTTACGATTTCTTTTTAAAATCAATCTCTTCTTTCTCGTTAATTCACATAATACGTATAATCTGCATTATATAATACGTATAATTTGTGTGCGGGGTAACTTTTTAGCTTTTCTCTAAATGAGGGCATATTTTATGAAAGCTGTAAGCGGCTCAAATCTCATATTTCGCGAGCATCGGCGAGCATCAGCTAGTTTCAATTAAACGTTCGCTCATCGAAAAATATTTTATTTCTCCCGAGGGGAAAACGCTGGGTGCAAATCGCCTCCCCCCCTCCCCGTTTCCCCTCTTCCCCTAGAGTTTCATGGAGCGATGTTAATTTGCCACGTCGTGTTTACTGATCGCGTGCGCGCAGTGATCCGAGAGAAAATAAATTCGCCCGTGAAACGCGGGCATGCCAATCTCTTTATTGCGGTCCCGCGTGTATTTTTCGGGATTCGCTGCATACACCGGGTCGGGGTAAGTAATCTCGTTCGATTGCATTTGCCGAGGCTAAACGTTTCCGCTCGCGTCCGCGCGGCCGCCGCCGCCGCCGTCGCCGCGGTGATCGCGACCCCTGCACTCTCCCCGCGATTATTCGCATCCCTGAATATTGCATTGGTAATATCGAGCGTTTCGTTAAATATACGGCAAATGTATCAAAGACGTAATCTCAGGATGGATCCGTAGATGAATTTTATATGTAGCACGAACGTTCCTGAAAACGTATTAAATACCTCTCACGGGCAAATCTCGGATTAGAATTCCATTAAAGTAAAATCCACTTGATATCGTCGAATGCATATATTTTTGTTATCCGCGATTTACAGTATTGAGGCTTAATGTGTCCGAGGACTAAAATTGATTTAAATTAATTCCATGTAATTGTTCTTTCGGTTTGAATCTTCTCGCGTGTTGCAGGAGAGTTGTTTGCGAGAAAATGCGTTTTTGTAGAGTCCGATGTCGTGAAACGACATTCCGTGTCTTTGGTATCCTATTTTCACAAGGGGTTTGAATTAGTTGGTTTTTATTTATGCTCACTCCAGCATTTCCTCTGTTACAATGAACTATACGCTCGTATCAAAGTACCTCTGCAGTCTCTGACCCCGGTTTTCTGTTACAAGAACGACCTTGGCATCGCTCCGTTTCAACGGAATTGTTCCACCTCGGCGAATCGCAATTTATTTTCATTATGAATCTCACTGAATCCAGGCTTTAAATTTTGGTGAATTCTCAATGGAGGTAAAACGTTGTGTATTAGCGACAATTTAATAATTTATCAAGGGAATCTTTAACGGAACGCGCGCGCCTTTTGATATTTGATTTAACTGATTTAATCGTTCATATATATGATTTGTCTGTAATATCGTGTAAAAGTAAATTTAATAAAATAGCTATTTATATATATATATATATATATAAATCTGTTTGTGCGACGTCCTTATATTCCCACGGAATTTACACCAGACAGTTTGTCTCCGACGATGTCGCTTCATTTCCATGTTCGTGTTGCATTATCGATGAAGACGAGCGAAATTACGCACAGTAATATCGTCTGCGATAGAACGGCCGTTTCTCTCGCTTTACGATATAGAATCGCTTCGCGTAATACCGAGAGATGCATATCAGCGATACTCCGCTCCGCTATTTCGAGAACTAAAATCTGTAACGGGATACGCTTTCGCGTAGGTGGATTCGTCCCGATATTATCCCGTTAACAAAGCATCGCAAATACTCGAAAAATAGATACGTTCGCACTGTCCCAGAAATCGCCTGGAAAATATTGTATTCTCCGTTCCGATCGCGCCATGTCTCCATTACTGTCCATTAATAATCCGTAGCCGACCTACTATTTTCCGAGCTGGTCCATTTGTTGACATTGTTTTAATGTATCTGCGGGTTTTTCGCTTTGCTTCTATTAGCATCATAGTTATAAAACACATTTAATTCTGCATCATGTTGTGCAATACCTACAGAAAAGAAAAAAAAACAGAATTCAATGCGAAATAACGCGATATATCCCCGCGTGTTCTCATGAAAAAATGAAAGAATTTTCGTGAGAGGTATTAATCCTCTTGAGTTTCGAAATGCGAAAAAAATCCAGTTTAAATATTTTACTTTTTTGTCACAAAGTCATCGAGAGATAGATTATTTTTTCGCTATTTATTTGGAGTAATTATTTTCTGTCATTTATCTTTTTATGGTATGCTGGCGCTCTTTGAATTGCATGAAATTTTCGATTATGATAAAATTCGAGTTTAAAATGAAAAATACAGACCGTGATGTGATATTTTGTTTAGGGTATACGGTACGTGTGCATTAACACACGCAAGACATTAATAAACGCCGCTCTTTTAAATAAATACTTGTAACTGCGAACTCAGGGAGCTCCCGCGTCGCTCGTTTTTGTTTGAAACCGAGGGGTAAACCGCTGAGGGCATTGCGGTGTACCGATTCGAGGCATTGCTAGGCATTATGGGCATTAGTTGGGCATTACTTGGGCATTTTGGGCATTACTTGAGCATTGCTTGGGCATTTTGGGCATTTTGGGCATTACTTGGGCATTAGTTGGGCATTAGTGGGCATTGCTTGGGCATTCCTGGGCATTAGTGGGCATTACTTATAGACTGCGGTCCGTTTGTCCTTGTTTAACATTTGATGAGCAACAAGGATGGAAAGGAGGATGAACAACAAGGATTTTGTGAGCGCTGTAAGCGCGAAACGGAACGCAGTCCAGCTATAGCGCTCGAATAATGCTATTGCGTCATTTGGATTGAGACGAGTACACGTTTCGCTAGCTGTTTCAGCAGAGCAATTCCGTTTATAATATTATACAGTGATATGTGTTATCTGCTATAACATCTGGATAACATCTGTTAAGAAGATCTTTTAAACATCTGTTAAAGATCGATTATTCTTTACGTGAAAAAAGAAAAGAAGGTAATGTCAGCAAAATAGATTGTCTCAATAAATATTTTAAAACATAAGAAAATTGTTTTATTTAAAGTTAATAAGTTATATAATGTGTTACACTATCGCAGTTCAATAAGATATTTTTTTATTTACAGTGTCAGAAAGTCTAGACGATTTGACATATATTATAACCTCACATTTCACCAGCATTTTAAAAAACGACCGGCGCAGAATTCTTTACTGATATCTCGACTGATATGTTGAAGATTCTTTGGAAGAAATTATTAATCAGAAAGAGGTTTGTTTTAAACATTATCTCGTACTTATATATTTGCAATATCTAATCATTTATTAATATGAAAAATATTTTACAGATGGCAAACATAAATGCAAGATCCGAAATAGATAATGTTCAGCAAAAATTAATTGATTCAGAAGTTGATGTATTTGCTGAAGCAGAAATGTCTTTAAATATAAAAATACCTATAACTTTAAAAAACTTATTAATAGTCAATGGTTTCGAAAATGAAATCGTTATAGCCAATCTGAACGATTGTGATATTACAAACATTATATCGTTTACAAGGAACGAGTTACATCAAATTGTAGATAAAGAAGATCTACCTAAATATTATGGTCTGTATTGGAAAAATCCATCCTTATTTGAAATAGTACCTGGACATAGACATATAATATCTCTTCTATCTGATTATTATAAAAAAAAATTATTACATAAAGATGCCGTAAAAAATATGTATAAAATAAAAGAACAGTCAATTAAAAAAACTAAGAAAAGAAGCCAGATATTGAGTTCAAACTCAAATCACGCAAGCACCTCAACTTCTCAGTCATCTATAATAAACGAAGAGCAAGGCGAAGAGATAAGGGACAATTTACACCTTTGCACATCTGAAGAACCATCGGATCCTATAATTTTAGAAGAAAGACGAATACGTGAAGCAATTTTTTCTTGGACACAAGGAAAAGTAACCAAAGATGGATGGCTAGCTTTAAGAAAAGCATTTGATAATATAAGCGTAAAAATAAGATTAGATGCAGATGAATTCTATTGTGCAATAAAATGCTTTTGTGGTGTAAATTATATTATATCTAAGTTTCCTAAAAAAGGTTCAAAATCGAAACGTTGGATTTATTCTAACTTTCAAACGCATTTACTTAAAAAACATATTCGAAACACAAATTCATCTGCAACTAAATCATTTGTTAATCAAAATCGTATTACTGATTATGTAGCAAAAACGCCATCAAAATTTTCTAACGCAAAAGTAATTCACAATACTGAGTTTCCAGAAAATATAAAGAAAACTAGTCAACTCATAGATAATAAAAATAATAAAGCGGAAGTTGTAGATATAATGGAAGTTATAGATAAAGAAATTATTTTTGATACAGTAAATGTAATAAGTACAATAGAAGATACGGATAATAAGAATAATAAAGCGGAAGTTGTAGATATAATGGAAGTTATAGATAAAGAATTTATTTTTGATACAGTAAATGTAATAAGTGCAATAGAAGATACGGATAATAAGAATAATAAAACGGAAGTTGTAGATATAATGGAAGTTACAGATAAAGAAATTATTTTTGATACAGTAACTGCAATAAGTACAGTAGTAGAAGATACAAATAATCAAATTACAGATTCGCAAAAAATTAATGAAGAGCATAATATTGACTGTTCTGTTTCGGATTTTATTTATGTTGATAATTCCAATATTGATTCTAATATTCCTACTTGTTCTAGCTTTAAGGTAAATACTAGTCAATGTGACAAATGGAAAAGTTTAAAATACCAAAAATCTGAAAGATTAAGAAGAAATCGAGAAAAATTAACTCCTAATCAAACTTTGATAACTGATTATTTTACTTTAGCGGAAAAAATTTCTAAAATTATATGTCATGATTTCGAAGCAACGAAAAATCTTTTACCTAAAATTAAAAGTTCAGAAATTGATTTTACTATTACAGATAATGAATTAGTTATGAATAATTTTTTAAAAAAACTTTTAGACATATCATTAAAAAATTCGGAGAGTGCAAACAGAAATTCATATGATGAAGCTACAAAAAAATTTAGCACGTATCTTTATTATGTAGGAGGAAGGTTATTATATGAGACATTACAGGCAAATTTACCGAACGCATTGCCTTCGATAAGTACTTTAAATAGATATTCATGTAATAAACGTCGTGTTGAGGAAGGTGAAATAGATTTTGATGGTTTAATGCAGCATTTAAAAGAAAGAAATGCTTCAAAAATAATTTGGATTGCCGAAGATGCTACACGAATTACGGGAAAAATTGAATATGACTCTCGATCAAATAAAGTGCTTGGATTTGCTTTACCTTTAAAGAATGGCTTACCCGACCAAAATAAATATGTTGCTACATCTGCAGAAGTTATACAGAATTTTTTTAAAGTTGGTAGCAAAGCAGCATATGCGTACGTAATAATGGCTAAATCTTTAACTTGCAATGTCCCTGCATATTGCTTATCTCTTTTTAGCACAGATAATAAATTCGATGCAAAAGATGTTTTAGAAAGGTGGAGTTTCATGAAAAAAGAAGCAAAAAAATTTGGTATTACTATTGCAGGGTTCTCATCTGATGGTGACACCCGTTTGTTGAAAGCAATGCGTCTTAATAACTGCTTACCAGTTATAAACAATCAGATATTTCCGTGGAACAAGGAATGGCCTTGGTTTCAAATAGACATAAATAAAGTAGAAGAATGTTATGTACAAGATACAACGCATATTATAACCAAAATGCGGACAAGATTATTAAAAGAAGGGATAATTCTTAAAATGGGAAATTATTCGGCTACTGCAGATCATCTTCACTATTTGGTGAAAACTGTATCAAAAGATAAACATCTTCTAACTTCTTTAGATTTAAAAGGAGAAGACAAAATGAATTATTCCGCAGGGGAAAAAATGTGTTCCTTACCTGTAATAAATAATTTAAAACAAATTACTAATACGGACGGTACAATTGCTTACTTAAACATAATGAAATATATAATACAATCTTTCTTAGAAGAATCTACAACATTAAGCGATCGAGTTTATTTCATGTGGTATTCAGTTTTCTTTCTAAGAATATGGCGAGCATGGATAAAAAGAAATAAACAATTCACTATAAAAGACAACTTTTTAACTAATAACTGTTATTTGTGTATAGAGTTAAATGCTCATAATTTAATAAAACTAATTACTCTATTTAAAGATAGCAGGCAATCTCTGACGCCTGAAATGTTTCGTCCCACTATGTTTAGTAGTCAAATGTGCGAAAAACTTTTTCGAACAGCTCGATCTATGACTTCCACTTATTCTACAATTATTAATTTCAGTATTAAGGATTTAATTTATCGTATTGATAGGATCAAGCAGATAAATACTATAACGAATGATCTTTCAGGTGTATTTAAATTTCCCAGAGAAGATAAAAAAATGTTAAAAACACAAAATGTCCTAACATATGAAGTCATAGAAAACTTAAAAATCAATGAAATTGTCGATAAAGCTTTGAAAGATGCTATTAAAAGTACCGAAGAATTAGGCATGAAAATTGAAAGTGATATAGATTGGAAATTTGTTGATATTCCTTTGCAAACTGTAGATGATGAATGTAAATTCGATGATACAGAACGTGAAATCGATAACAATTGCTCTAGAAATGCTAGAAGCACAAATGTCGAAGATGTTGACAATTCAATTTTATTTGACAATCCTGATGATGATTTAAAATTAGAGAATCTAGAATTAAAAGACTTTTCCAAACAAATATCACAGAAATCAATAACAGAAAATTCGCCATTCATGGAGATTAAAGTAAATGACAAAAATATGATTGTTAAAAAATCTTCTTATTGTTGGTTTCTTGATGAATGTAATGGAAAAGTTAGTACGGATAGATTACGAAGATTCATGACAGGTAATAAATTAAATAAGAGAACAAAAAACTGTACAAAAATGCAACCTGAAAAAAAGCAAAAATATCTTAAAATTTCCAATTTTTCTAAACAAAATCAAACATGTAATGAATCAGAAGATGAAAGTTTCGTTGAAGACGATCCTAAAGTCTGCAACGCGAGCGTATCTGAAGTACTATTAGAAAAATATTATGCCGTTTTTTACGATGACAACTACTATATTGGCCGGGTTGTTGATCATTGTGATACCAATGTAAAAATAAAGTTTTTAAAATATGAACTTAATTCTTTTATTTGGCCACGTGATGAAGATGTGGCATTTGTTGAAAAAAAGTATATTTTCTATGGCCCAATTGAATTAGTCGGGACCGGACCTTTTGTGTTAAAACGTTGTGATTTTGCGGCTATACATAAAAAGTATAAACTAATGAAACGTTTCGAACTGTAGACTTTTTATTTGTTAAAATTAATGTTAATTTGCCTGGACTTTTCTCTCGAGATTGGATTAAATGTAGGTATCTCCTTTATGTATGTACAAATTCTAAATAATATTTTTGTTTTATTTATATATTAAAGAAGATATCTTTAGTTACATTTTAAAAGTTTATGGCATTCATTTAATAATTATTAATAAATATTACAATAAGTTTATTTAAATTTTAAGTTCTAATCATA